ATTTTCTTACAGTTAATTCCAAAATCATTTGCTGTATTTTTATAAAATTTAAAACAGTCCATAAAAAAACTATTATTTCAGATCTGTCTGGCCCCTTAACTATCTACAGCCAACATTCTTAACTCCCTTTTGCTGTTTCCAAAAGTTAAAATATTTCGTTTTAATGTTTAAACTTACTTAAATCTTCTTTCTCCCAGTGTACAGCAACTTGCCTTTCAGAAAGTTTTTAATTTCCAAGTAAATCGCTGATAAGTAATCTCTGATGTTAATTAAAAGAGGAAGTGAAAGCAAATCTACTGTCTCTTTGGAGGCTCTGAACCACAGCTTGGGCTCGATGTTTCCTGTGACTCCCAGAATGCTCAACCCATTGGAAATTGCTAAATTGTGACCTCTTCACAGGGAGCCTCTGTAAGGAGTACTTGTGGGTGATCCAGTCATCTCCTTTGTCCAGAGATGGTTCCAAAGAGCCAGACTTTTCATCAGCTCCTCTTAACCACCGCAGTTGTCATCTCCACGAAAACAGAGCTGTCTTCAATCCTCCATTACTGCCCCAGTAGTCGAGTACTATAAGTACCTTGTGATTATTTTCTTTTCCCAACTTTTAGAGCAGGTTGTCCATCAGATCAGCACTCTTGTTTGAGAGCAAAATAGATTGGCAAGTACCTAAGGAAATAGCATGTGCCTCAGCCTCACTGGCTTCAAAAGGAGGATAGCTTATTTTAGTAGTAAGAAACACTATGTAGTGATATTAATGTAAAATTATTATTGCTTCCTGCCTTCTCTTCAGCAATTGACAAACCATATCCGGGACACTCTGCCATCCCTACGTAGCAAACTTCAGAGTCAGCTGCTGTCACTTGAAAAGGAGGTGGAAGAATATAAGAACTTTCGTCCTGATGATCCTACACGGAAAACCAAAGCCTTGCTGCAGTAGGTCAACTCTATACTAAACTCTGGCTCTCATTTGAATAGCTTCCTGCTTTTTTTGCTATGCTTTGAGGGGTGTGTGCACCGTACTCTTGTTACTTAAAATTTATTTATTTATGTTATAACATAATAAATAACATGTATGATATGGCAGACATCAGTTGGGGTTCCTTCCTTCCCTTATTTATAGAGCAACTTTGATGTCTTTGTATTTTACAGAATTCCGTAAGCAAAAAAACAAAAACAAACAAACCCTAAAGAATTGAATTTTTGATTGATTATGTGCCATCAAGTCATTTTCGACTCCTAGATAGATTTTCTCCATGACGATCTACCCCTAATTTGGTCTTTGGTCTTCCAACAATGCACTCATTACCACTATAACTGAGTCCATTCACCTTATTACTGGTTGCCCTCTTCTCTTTCCTTCCACCTTTCCCATTGTTAGAGCCTTTTTGAGACCCTAGGTCTTTGCATAATATGTCTGAAGTAGGATATTTTTAGCCTGGCCCTAAAAAATGCTTACCCTAAATTTCAACAGAGAGCAGCAGAGAGAGAAGGGTAGCAAGAGATAAATGTTAGCTGAATATTTGATTATATAAAAAATATGATGCAAAAAGTGATTTTATGGAAGAAAGAGATGGTACCAGTGTTTGAAGTAAAAACATCCTTGATGCCCTCACTTTTCTGTAACCAGAGACATAGAGATCAATTTATGCTTATGAGATCCAGCATCTTAAGGAATTCATCTTCAGAAAATGTGTCAGGTTGCTAATTTGTGAGCAGAGAGGGTGTGTCAAAGGCAGCTGAGTGTTAAGAAAAGAGAAGAAGGAAAGTCTTATTAAAAATATGTCTACATACTCACATATTATACAGTTTTTCTCTATTAGGTTAGGTGATTCATCATTCATCCATCCATCCATCCATCCATCCATCCATCCATCCATCCATCCATCCACACATTGATATGGTTACTTTGCCTAGCAATATAAGATGCTGCAGGCCAAAAGATCAGCATCCTTGAATGCTTTTAAAACTATAAACTCTCTGAACTGAACATAGAATAGCAGTGGTACTTGACTTTTCTGGCTCTGGTCAGAGAGGAAATAGCTGGTATTAATTCCAAGATGATTCTATCTCTAGTTTAGCTTCTCCAGTAGCCTTTTGGGATGACAAAAAGAAACTCTTTGTTAGAGTAGAATTTATAAGAAACATTCCATCTTACTGTATGGTATCTGCATTCTCCCGGGTTAATCTTTATCCATCCATCCATCCATCCATCCATCCATCCATCCA